ATGTGAAACAAGACTTCATCTTCCTGTCTTCCAGAAAACACCTTGGATGCTCTCGAAGACATATCTACATGTTCTCTGAGCAAATAACTGTGATCTTGTGTGGTTGAGGGTTCTAAGTGCAGAGCATCAAAGGAGACAAACATTTTTAAAAGATGTTGAAGGCAAAAGCGGATGAGAGTGCGAAAGCCCATTTACTGCATCCCACTGATTATGAAACACCTGTGAGGGGAGCTCTGGTGGCCTAGTGGAAAGGAGCTGCAACTACAATCCCAGAGGCTCACGGTTCGAATCCACCAGACGCTCTACCGGGGAAGGAGGGACAATCTCCTCCTGTACCAGTCAGATCTGATTTGACGGTACACTTACACACACACACACACACACACACACACACACACACACACACACACACATAAAAAAACACCTGTGAGAAGAGCAATTTTTAAAATCTCTTTATTTATAGACATTTCAGAACCATTTAAATCAACAGACAATGACTATTTTTTTTTTTTTAGACATAACAAGTTTATCTTGAGGTACAATTTGGGCCCATTCAAGAACGTTCTGGAAAGTAATACAACTGTTAACCAGTAGTTAACAACCCAAGTTTTCCAAGCAAAGGAGGCGTAAAGGTGATCACAAAACTCTTTGAAAAGAACACAGTATTTCCACTATGTCAAGAAAAAAAAATCCCCATTTTTTAATTAATAGAGCTTATTATTTTATTTATAGGCTAGTCATTTAAACAAGATTTTCAATGGAACTTAAAACTTAAAAAGAGAGAAGGTTATCACTAAGAAGTGGTGTGAGACCCACCTATCATGAGATGGTAAACAATGGGAATTCACAATCTGGTAAGCTCCTTTACAAAACTCACAGCCTACGGGTCACAGCAGCAAAATACAGAAGATATTTGTGTATCATTTTAACTGAAATCTTGTTGACCTCTTGTTTCCGGCTTTTACAATGAGATAGATCATAAAACACCAAGTTTGAAGACAAAGCAATGAGACTTAAGATGTGACCGAGAGAATCCTATAATATTACCACCCTGTAGTATTCAAGTACTACTTTCTACCATTTAAACCCTGGACATCTTACTCTACTCTTGCCCTCGTAGCCTGATGTCTTGTTTGCCATAGGGTCAGAACTGACCGACAGCTGACCCTCCAGCAGATTTTCAGGAGCAGTAAATCGCAGGGGAGGAGACTGCCCGTCCTTTTCCAGTTGGTGGATCTGAACCATGTGCCTTTGGGACTGTGGTGCAGCTTTTTACCACTAAAGGCTGGCATATTTGTTGCAGATTTAATATTTCTGGCAGATTGATGTTGAAATTTTCTTTTGAATAGTTCACTAGGTTCTTTGAAGAACTATTTCCTTTTCCAGTTTGTTATCCAAAATGTTAATCTAACACCAGTTAGGCACAGCTAATACCTTGTACAAGGCCTTCTCTCCATCCACACCCACTGTGCTAAACATCTCTGAGGTGCTGTGTTGATGAGTATTGGGTCTGGAATGTGAGCTGAGGGGTGTTCTTGCAGGTGATTGAAAGAGATCGAAATCTACTATATGGAAATATAGAAGACTGTTTAATTTTACACGAGACCTGAGTATCACCAGGAATAAAGTGGGCAGTTCACTGGGATTTCATAAACTTGAAATGATGTAGAGAAAAAAAAGCAAGTGTAAATGTTACAGGTCATAAAGCCGAGCTTCTCAAAGAAGAGACTCTGAGGAGAAACTGACCTAGGTTTGAGTTCCTCCTCCTCACACGATTACACCCACCTTGCAGATGTTAGCTGCAGGGTACTTCTGATAGCTCATTTCTGATGAAGGCTGTCATGGGTTTAGCCAAGAGCTTAAGGATCTCAAAAAGGGTCCTGATAAGAGATAGCCGCTGTCCGACCCCAAGCACTGTGGTCCCTGCCAGGAGGACATGGATCACCTTTGAGCTGGTTGATTAGGAAAGGTGCTGTTGGAAGACAGCTGGAGACTGCTTTCCACAACAAACCACAGCTCCCAGCAGGGAAGGGGGTCTCCTTCACACTCAGGCTCTGCTACCTGTTACAACCCCCCCCACACCCCCAAAACAAACCACAACAGAAACAACAAAAATAACACCGAACAATGAAACCCTGGGAGAAACAGCCACTTTCAGCCTCAAATATATTTCACATTTTGATGGCCTGGTGGTGTTTATTTCACATGATCTTTGAGAGACTGCCATTTCTCTCATCTGGGGATTCTTTAAAGACAAACACGCTTAACTTTGTGCATTCCGTGCCCAGAGGATCTCATCTCTCTTACACATACATTCACAGGATCAGGGGCTGTGATTTCAAAGAGAAGTGATCTGCCTTCCCAAAGAGCAGGAACTTGTCTTTGTTTTACAGTCTTACAGAATCAGTCCCAACACAGCGCCTGGCTCGTGTAAGGCCCTAGTCCCTGCCCTCACAAGGTCAATCAGCACGGCTGCTGTTGTTTTGCTCCACAGAGTCTGAATCAAATCACTATGGAGCCTTCAGTGGGTCTTTAGAGGCTATAAACTGCACAGGAGGAGTGTCTCTCTTCCCCTCTTAGAGTAGCGGCTGGTGGACTTATTGCATGTGCTTGAGTTGGCAGCTAGTAAAAGACAAAACCAAATAATTTTGCATAAAGTTTAAAAGAAAACCCCCCCCAAACAAATCCCAAAACACAAAAGCAAAACACTTCTCCACCCCCCCCGCAAAAAACCCCTGAAGTAAAATCCCTCAAACTCATTGCTGTTGAGTCAGAAGTGACTCATGAATGACCCTCCAGCAGGTGCCCCAGGCTGTAAGTCACATAAAAGGAGGCTGCCCATCGAAGTGGTTGGTGGATTCCACCTACCCAAAGGAGCCACTTTTGGGTCAGCAGTGCAACTCTCTGCGGACTACGTTAGCAAAAGAAACACTGAAAGAAGAAAAAGGTAGAGAGAGTCGATCGTTTATGTGGGGCAACCATCAGGTCACAGTAAACCAAGCCCAACCTTGCTCCTCCTCCGGAACTCGAGGGTGTGGACAAGTGCCACAAAACGTGACTAAACATGATACGGCAGGGTAGAAAGCAAAACTCTGCTTTTTCAATTGTGTCTCGCCTGTCTTCATTTAAAGGAAAGTTCCTAGACGACAGCTCGCTAAGGGACTTCCATCTCCCACAAAGTGATGCTTCCTAAACAATAAAGGAACTGTGGAGTCTGGAGTCACATGAAGGTACTATCAGACTTCATGGATGAGATGATTTCTTTTGAGTGGGTACTTCAGTTCGACAAACTTTATTTTTTGCCCCCCTACACAGAGTCTGGCATTTATGTTATGGGAGATATTTAGAAGGAAAATAAAACACCACCCTTCTCAACTTCTAGAAGATGACTTGACATAGAAAATCGAGTCATTGGGTGATGCAAATGGTTCACACTCTCATCTGCCAACTGACAGGATGGAAATTCAAGCAGACACAAGAGTGCCTTGTAAGAAAGGCCTGGTGATCCAAATTTAAAAAAATTTGCTACTGACCCCCCACCCCTGGGAGCATAGCTACACTCTGACACATACATGAGGTCTCATGAGATGGGACTGAATTGATGGCAACAGTTGTTGTTGGGGTTTTTTTAGGATGGAAAAGGAGGACAGATATTATCTCAGTGTAACTTTCACCATGACATAATGAAAATTTAATGCCAAGAAGTCAAGATTATATTGCACAGGACAAAAGGAAGGTCGGGAAAAACTAGACCGGTGCGTGGACGTATGTTCTAAGAGATCACAATGTCTTTAAACTTCTTTTTTGGTGAGCAGAAAGTGTGAACAACAGATGTAACTGATTCTTGCTGTGACGTGATGACGGCTGACCCGTCCCTATGGCTGTAGTGCGCTCACAGATCTCTCTCTCCAGCCAGAATCTGGGGCAGACCTTGAGGGAGGCAGGGCGGTCTGGACAGCACCTTGCTCAAAAGTAAACCTAAGATTTCTATTCTTTCAAACGGAATGATGTCAATGCCAGTTTATTTTGGAACATTTAATCACATTTAGGAAAAACTGTCAGACTAAAGGGCTGAAATTCTTGGAACAAAATTTTCTTTGGAAGAGAGAAAAAAAAAAAGAGACTGTGAAATATAAAAAGTACCTTCCTGGTTATTTTAAAATGGACTCAACAGATATAGCGTACGTAACTATGGGAGATCACGTCTGATTTCTGAGGTCTCTTCAAACATTGGCTGAGAATACCTAACACGTCCTAAAAATGCTCTTCAGCTCTTATGGTCAGACCTCAGGGAAGCAAGAACCTCAATCTAGAAAGTTATCAGGTGAAAGTAATCATTTATCTAGCTATCAGCATGGAAGTAGAATATGTAAAAACCAGTCTTATAATGGACTTAAAAATAAAATGTAATTCTTAATTATGATTCTAGCGATTTATTCCAAGCCTTCAATTATGAAGCCTCCTGGGATTCCACTTGCAGTGACCGGGCTCTGAGAATATTTGGAGTTTATTCTGTCCCCCGTTTCTAAGACAGTCAACTCTTTCAGCCCCCAAATTCCAATGCTTATCTGAAAGTGAACAGGTGTTATAAAAAAAAATTTGACTGAGGATGATGTTTTAAAACATACGAGGGTATATACCGTATATATAAATTATATACACTGGTTTATTTTTCCTCTGCCCATTAAAACTAGCAGCAGTTATAGATAAATCATTGTGGTCGGGATTGGCATTTCTAAGTACACCATATATCCTCGTATCAACAGATGACTTTTGGAAAATGTCTATGATAAAAGACCCTCCCACCAAGCATATAACATTAACGTGTCATTTCATATCACCAACATTTTCAGGCACAAGAGTTAAACAATTAGCAATAAGCAATGCAAAAGACAGAGCACAGGACAGTTAATTCTCTAACGTTGACACCCTTGCCCCAAAGAAGGGAATTACTGTTAAAAAGTATGTGGTGTGGTTTTTTGTTCATTTGTTTTGTTTTTAAGGTTTTTACGTCTTTCACCTTTGGCTATTTTGTAATAAATACATACCTTCTTGCATAAACCTATTTGGGTAAGGATGATTCTCAGAACACGCCGTTTTCCTTTCAGCAGCTGTTGGGTGTTGAGTGACATACAAGGCACACCTCGAAGTGTTCTGTACAGCATTTTATTGATGTACAAAATAGCCTGTTCACCATTCAAAAACGTAATCTGCATAGTAAGAGTGTCTCTTATCCCTATTTACAGAGAAGGTTTTTAGTGCAAAAAAACATGAATTCCATCCCAGCCCACCCCTTCTCACGCACAATTGTACCAGTCTTGTTCCATGCCAGCTGGGGGTAATTTGGCTATATTTTGGGCCTCCAGCCATTAATGAACTGCATTATCTTCTTCACCTGCAGTTTGCTCAGTTTGAAATCCTCAGAGAGGATTTCTTCTGTCAGCTGCACGAGCAAATTCCCATCAATCTTTTCCGTGACAAAGAATGATATGACATCTTCGGACAAGCCGATGAACCGCAAAGACTTAGACACTTCTTCAATCGACAGCCCCGAGAGGTCAGCTGGTGGCTGCCATGGGGACCCATCGCCGCAAGACCTGGGGGCCAGCTGGAGATGGAGCGGAGAGGAGAAGGGATAGGGGACAGAGAAGAGGTCCTGCATGCCCTTTGGAGCGAAATACTGGTCTTCAGAGAGGTCTGCTGACCCAGACTTGGGGTCTTCCTCAGCACCATCGATTTTCAGAGGCAAAGGGGAGGTGTCAGAGGTGGCGCCCTCGTCCACTGCTTTGGGGGCCCGTGGCGGTAAGGCCGGGCACGAGACACTCTGCTTGGCCGTGCCAGCTGCCAGGGCTTTGTTATCAGTGCTCTCCAGCGAGTAGCTTGCTGACTTGGGACAACCAGGGACGTTGCTGGCAGGCTCTGGGCTGACCACGCCAGCTTCCAGCTGGCTGGGGAGGAGCTCACAGCCATCGAAATCCAAAGGTGCCGGGCAGTTTCTCTTTGGTGTGCCTGGCGCCTTTTGCCTGGGATAACTGTAGCTCCTGCTCGGATCCAACAGAAAATCATTTCGAGTCTGGCTCTCCGAGGCCCCTGTATAATGGTTGGGCCACGAGAGTCTGGAGGAAAGAGCTTCAGCTGAAGGGCTTCCAAAGGGGGACTTCAGGTCCATGGACTCCGCTTTCATCCGGGTGCACGGATAGCAGGACACAGGAGCACTTTCCGATGGGCTGGTCTCACTTTTAGTCACGCTGCTTAAAAGCAAACACACAAACATGTCAGGGAGAGACAGAAGCCAAATTCCCCAGCCTCTTACCATCGTAGCCACAGATGATACTTCTAATTAGAAAAGCGGGTAGGAAAAAAGATTTTACTATGAATTCAATGTATGCACTAAGTAAGTACCCAGCTTCCTACAGTCTTAGCACACATATGGTACTTCTAATTAGAAAAGCAGGTAGGAAAATACACTTCTTATATGAATTCAATAAAGTACCCACTAACCTCATTAAAAGGTGTTGGGTTTTTTTTTAATCTTTAATAAAATATATTGGTAATTTTGTATATGGATAGTGCAACGATTTAAAATGCTATAGTGGTAATTTTATAAATACACGTGTGTGTATGTATATAACATATATAGATATAGATATAGATAAAGATAGATATACACACGAATATATATATATATATAAATAAATAAGTAGTTGTTTCTATGTATCTTTAAGTCAGAAGCTACCCACAGTTAACCTCCAGCAGATTTTCAGAGGCAGTATATTTCACGGGCGGAGACTGCCCAGCTTTCTCCTGTGGAGCAGCTTATAGATTCAAATCATGTGCCTTCAGGCTGACAGCACAGCTCCTTATCTCTAGGCTACCAGAGCTCTCACTATTTAAATAGAATATAAATACATGTATTTTATGTATAATATTATCTATCTATCTATCTATCTATCTATCTATCTATCTATCTATCTAATTTGAGAAACTAACAAATTTTTGTCCATTAAATTAATTAGCCAAAGTCTGGATCTTTATGATGAAAAAAAATTCTGAAGCCATGCTTGGGCTCAGCACCAACAAATGCCAGATTGATTAGTGATGTCTGCAGGAGACAAGTGCTGAGTCAAAAGGTAGTAAGTAGCAGACAGGTGCCTCACGCTGCCAGCCGGATGCTACAGTGACATGACTACATCATTACCATCCACTACTCTATTTACATCAGTAAGTCTCCAGGAGGAGAGAAGCTCCCAAATCAAATGTGTATGTTTACCCAGGTTCACGGCTAACTCAGTGACATTAGCATAGAGGCCTAAATGTCCAGAAGACCAAAAATAACATGCTCGAAATGTCAAGATCCCACCTAAGGCTGGGCCATCAGCTCTGGGTGCCCTATTTTAAAAGCAACAGTGAAACCAGAGTATGCTCCACAGTAGGTAATGAGGCTAATGAATGAGGGGTCAGACAGCGATGCCAAGAGAAACAGAGGACTGGACTGAGACTGTTTCTTTTGGAAAAGTGAAGACTTACATCACAGCAGACTTCAAATTTTCATGGGGTGTCAAAGAGAAGAAGGGCAGACCTAGCTTTGTTTTCCTAGACGTAAGGAACCGTTCAAAGTTATGTCCGGAGAGATTTCAACTCACTTTTATGAAGGATTTATTAAAAATAATTATTAGCATTGGCAAATGGAATGAGCTTCACTGCAGAAGAAGGAGCCCTCACAACACTGGAAGGACTTGGACAGAAGTGAACAGCTACCTGAACATGATGGTCAAGAAGGGATTCCTCTACCAGCTGGAAGTTCAGAGGACCCTTCCAACCGCAGGTCCTCGTGGAAGGTGGTGTCTATCAGCTTGTACTGGTGTCAAAGCAGAAAGCTCTGGAGGCTGCTCCGTGAGCATCAATGGCTCAAGAGGTGTTTCCAAGAGAACACAGCGAGCCTTACTCAGTGCATTCCTCCCAGATTCTGGCTGTGTCTTTTCTTAAGACTCTTTCATCCTAGCTTAAAGCCAGCTAAGGCCCCTATCATGGCATTCTAGTAAAACTGCCTTTAAAAGAACACCCCCAAAACAAAACCACTTGTTCTCACCCCCTGCTCTGCCTAAGTTCTGGCCACATTGTGGATGTTCTTAAGAACCTGTGAAGTGGCTGAGGGGGAGGACCTCACTGGGGGGAGACCTGGCGTGAAGACTTACATGTTGTGCAGCCCTGAAGAATAGTAGGACAGGGTGGGGCTGGGAGAGCGGGTCTGCTGTCGCGCTGGCTTGGCTGTGCGAGGAGGGATGGAGGGACTTGTGGACAAAGGCTTTGCGCTTCGGGGCGGAACAGGCGGGGCGTTCAGGAGCCGGCATTCTTCCCTGACCTGGCGCAAAAAAGAACACCCTGGGTTAGCAACGGGCGACAGTGCCGCTTGGGGCCAAGTCACTGCTCTCAAACAGGCAGAGAAAGGGGAGTGAGCAAGAAGATCAGAGCAAATGAGAAGGATGGAAAACACCAGAGGCCGCCAGAGAGAAAAACTGGGCACCCAAAAAATACTCGCTGGGACAGGCTGAGTTTGAAAGGCACTGCTTGGTGAATGTGAGCTATGGCTGAAGTTTATCAAGTTATACAAGCCTTTACAATGTCTTGAGCTAAAAGCTAATGAAATGTGAGGACTTCCAAACTGTGTTCAGTGGGAAAAGGCTATCAAACATCACCACCTCTCTGTCCTGAGGATTCAGTGACCTTCTCCTACAGAGCTGCATTTATTCACTGTGCACATTAGTGCCATCAGAGCAAAACCTTGGCTACATACAGGTTCTCCACAGAATTGCTCTGGTTTAAGTTCCTTCTGAAGCTGTGGTTTCTCAAGGGCAAATGGAATTGTGCAGATCTTGTTAAAGTGGAGAGGTCTGGAGAGGTGTACAGGATCCCAGAGACATTCTCAATTTCTCCCAAGCTCCTAGTGAAACTGAGGTAGCTGGTCCCTGGAGTACGGCCAGGGAGCAAGGCTAAATACAGGATGAGAAATGCCGCCGCCTTCCAAACCCCAAATCAGTTCTTTTTCTAAGAGCTGCTCTGTCTCTCTCACTCTCTCTTCCTATTCACTCTGGAAAGGATTAAGGAAACCCCGGCCTTCCACCAGCTGCTCCTGGTTTGTTTTTCACCTACCAGACACATTCAGACAACTGTTCAAGTTCATTTCTCATGTACTTCTCTGTGTCGGGCAGCAGGGGGCAGGTTAGACCAGGTTCTACCCTGCTACCCCAGAATGAAAACTCATTGAGCACCAGGCAAAAATAGAACCAAGTCTATGCATTGACGCATCTTTGTCTCCTTTTAAGACATGTCCCCATCAGTGTTTCACCTCTGCCTTCGACACCTTTCTATCCGGGCAATCACACAGCAAGTTGCTGTTAGCTCTGGGGTGATGTTTGCCTTCAATAAAATAATAAAGGTTCACATTATATCGCAGTTGCAGCATCTACCACCTACGCTATAGGCAGCCTCCAACTGGCTTCCCAGTCCTGGTTTACATGCCAAAGAAAACCAGACGCAAAGCCATGTGATTATGAGGACCAGCAGCCCTCGGTTCTGTGCGAAATAGAGGCAATGTAAAAGGCCTCACCTGTTCCATTCCTTCCTGGGGCTGGGATCCTTCCCAGAGGCTCAAAGGCCTGGTGACTGTGACTCATTGGATTAGAAAGAAAAAGTGTTTCATCTGGAGAAGCCCTTTAAGCTACAATAAGATCCTTAGAACACTGGTGAGTTGGTTGGTTTTTTTTTTTGTTTTTAAAAACCTTCCACCATGGCTCCAGGCACTCTCTTTTGGAAATTTCTGGTTAATGTAACTTTTCCATCCTCAATGGAAGAAGAACAAAAACCACCTCATTGCCTTCGGGTGGGAACTGAGTCACAGCTGACCCTCCGCTGGGTTTCCAAGGCTTGTATATCACCTGGCAGGAAGGCAGGAAGAGACCACTCATCTTTCCCTGGGGGAGGCTCTAGTGGATTTGAACCTGCAGATGTACGTTTGGGTTAGCAGCGCAGCTTCCTACGGACTCCACCAAGGAGCTGTGGGGGAGCAGCGGGTGACTGAATAAACAGCACATCTGGGAGCGAGGAGGCTTGGGTGATGCAAACTCTGTCACTGTCACTGAATCGGAATAAATTCAGAACTGACCACCTGGTTTCTGGTGTCTGTGAATCACACAGGAAGAGACTGCCTATCTTTGTCCTGAGGAGCTATTGGTGGATTCGAACCAATATGCTATCAGAGCTTTCAGATGTTTGATAAGGAGGTAGAGGAGAGCTCAAGGGGCCCCAGCAGAGACTGGACAGCACTGTGGGAGCTTCTTCTCTTAAGAAGCTGAGAAGTAACTAGAACACTGAAGGTCCAGCTGGGTCACCCACTCCTTGGCTTGGGGGGTATAGACTGTGTCATCTCTTGCCCCCTGCTGTTTTACTAAATTGTATAGCAGCTGGATGCGTTTCTTTCCTTTCTCATGGAACATCTATGAACCTTGGATGGGTGGGCGGAATTTGGTTTTAAATGTTCTTCGTTCCATTTAAGATTGTAGTTAATAGGAATCACAGAAAACTGGAGAATGACACATCTGTCAGTCACGTTTTTAATTTTTAAAATGAACATTGAGTCCTCAAACCTTGGAGTAGGGTGAGGTAATAAGGGAAACACAGCTATCTTGAATTCAGTTTAGAATTTCTAGATTTTGTAATCAGTCATTAAAAGTTCCATTAGGAAGACACAATTGAAATGTAAGATATAGTATTGCCAAAATGTCAATGGCAGCGTGGGATTTCAAATCATGGTTTGGTGAAGTCTTGGAATTTCTAGTTGAATGAGACCCAGGAGAAACCCTCTTCCTGCTGCTTTAACCACACTAAGGCTCAGACACCACTCAGAGGGGGATTGTCTATCACCTTCCATAACTAAACTAAAGGGCTTCCTTAAAGTTTTTATAGGGATGGGGACAGTGATAGGGAAACCCAGGCAACCGAAGGTCACCGGGTGTGGTGAGGAGGTAAATTGTAGCCTAAGAGGGCAGTCACATGCTAATGAGTATGAAAGGATTTTTAAAAGCCACTCCCTCCAAAAAAAAAAAAAAAAAAAGAGTTCACTACTCATTCATAGTCTCAACAAAACCTTGAAACCAAATTCAAAACACGAAATACACTCCTTAATATTGTGGTGGCCCAATGATAGGAAGCTGTGCTGCAATGCCGAAGGCACGCGGTTCAAATCCGCCAGTTGCTCTGCAGGAGCAGGATGGGCACTCTCCTCCTATGCTGTTTACTGCCTCTGAAGACCTGCTGGAGGGGCAGCTATGGGTCGGTTCCAACTTGATGGAACTAAACAACAACAACAACAATAAAAACAATCCCCACCTAAATGTCATTACCCAAACTTCGCAAGCTCTGGACTCATCTCAAGTAGCCATGAGAAATGACTATACAGTTTCTGAATCCTGCTAACACATACTGTTTATATTTGCTTATTTTTTATCCAGTTTTAACTAGGTTGGAAGCTGATTTGGTGGACTGTCATCAGTGTTCTTTTTACTACTATCCTGCAGATAGTAGACTTTGGAGATTTGTTGCTTCTGGCACAAATACCAGGTTAAGATGAATACAGCCAAAGGACATCTTTCTTTATTTCTATACTGATGCTTTAAGAATGTGCTTTTTATTTTTATAGCAAACTCGTTACTGACAGTCATCTGGGCTGGATGCTAATTTTTCTAAGTATCCTTCCATTAGCAGCTATTGGTGCCAGGATCTCTTCCTGACACACAACTCTACCATTTTGGGCATAGGATTAAAAAGGATCAGTATTTCTAAATTGGCAAACGTCTGTGGCTTTAATTTTCAGCACCCCAGAGAAAGTAATTACTATTCTCAAATGAAGATTGAATAAAATATCATGCCTGGAAGACGGGAACCCTACCATTAACTCCCAGTGCCGCATTTAAGATGGAACTTCATTGGCCAAAACAAAGGGGGAAGTTTTTTACTTGTGTTGTCAGTAAAAAAAACAACCCCCAGCAACAGTGCTGAGCAAGGGTTTTGGCATTTTCTTTCTCTCTTTTTTTTTAAAAAATATTTTACTACATCTTCGGTGGAAGTTTACTAAGAGAGTTAGGGCCTCAATTGACATTTTCCACACGAATTGTTCTATCACATTCACCACAATGTGTCAACACTCTTAATTGGGCTGTTTGTTTCCTTTTCAATACTCGAGTTTCCCTGTCCCCTTATCATCTCGCCTCTGCTTTTGAGGAAGGACTGACCTTTAGGTCTCATACTGATGGTTTTTAAGTAGGACATCAGTCTTAACTGATGTGTACATTGACCCTGTTATAAACCGAAGGAAGGACTTTGGTGCCAGGAGCGTCTTTGCAAACACCTAAACTAGTCATAACCAGGAATGACTTACAGTTAGGCAAAGGTCATGAATAATCTGCAAGGACTGGTAATACCCATCTTAAAAGAGACTGCTATGACATAGTTCACCAACATTATTATCTTCATCCTAGTGAAGTGAGTATGTCTGGGGTCTCAAAAACGATTCCTAATAGCCATCTAAGACACATCAACAGGTCTTGACTATGCAGGAGCAAAAGAGTAAGAAAGTAACCAAAAATTCAGTTGTTGTTGTTAAGCGCCATCGAGGCCTAGATGACTCATAGCGACCCTATGAACGAAAGACCTGAGCACTGGTTTTGTGTACTTTGTGTCTCTTTGCTATTTAGCTAGAAGGTGGTCTGAGGAGACAGGCTTGGCTATTGGTTTAGGATGCCTCAAAATGGTAGTCTGAGAGTTCTCTGTCCTCTACTTTTAGAGTTTGTTTGACTTTTTTTTTAAAAAGAAAAATAATTAGAAGTATTCATATATTCCCCATCTTCCACCTGGAACCAGGTACTTGGGTCCCACTGAGAACAGCCAGTCGTGGTGGCTGGGCACCATTTAGTTCTTCTCTGATCTCAGGGGACATGAGGCTGTGGTTTTTGTAGATTTTTTTTTTTGCACTTGTTTAAGTGGTTTTTTGTCAAATATTCTTCTAAGTGGTATAGCACTGGTCTGTCCATTTGTTGCACAGAGGTAACTTGTGGTTGCTGTGATACTAAACACTGTGACACTGCTGTGTCAAATGCAATAATGGTTACCCATGGTGGACAGTGTTTGGTGGAGCTCCCTGATTAAAACAAGCTTGGAAGCAGGAGTGGTATCCACTTCCAAAATGGCTTGCCTCCAGAAACTCTACGAACAGTGCTCAGGTCTTTAGTTTATAGGGTCTCTAGGAGTCGTCTATGACTTGATGGCACTTAACAACAACAACTGAATTTTTGGTTACTTTCTTACTCT